CTGTCAGACAGGCCTGTTTCTTAAATATAAGGGACTGTGGACTTGGGCCCACAGAAATTGCTATCCCTCTCTGTTACTAGAAGGGGCTATTTAAGTGTGTAACAACTAGATACTTGGTGAAACTAAAGTGAAAACAGGGATGGGAGTGCAGGTTAGAGGTTAATAACAAGTGTTCCAAGGGGAGATGACTGTCAGAGACAGGGTACTGGGTTAGATGGCCCACTGGTCTGGCTCAGTATGGCACTTCTGTTCTTAAGGGAAAGGCCGAGAGGTGAAGTCTTCAGATCTTAGAAAACTCCAACTAATAAAGAAAGCTTCAATACATCTTCAGCTAATGGAACCACATTCTACCTGTTCTGTGCTCTAGACCAGCTTCCCAAAGAATACTGAAGGGTGCTTACGCACACAATTAGCACCTGCTAACTTTAGGTGTTAGGTCATTGTTAAAGTTAGCAAATGCTGTGTACAGTGGCACATGTAGCGTTAACAGCTTGTATAATGTGCACAGCTCTGAGCTGCCACCAGAGGGCTGGAGAGCTGACAAATCTACTCTATGCCTGCTCTGCTTGCTGGCTCTCTAGCAGTAATGCAGCCCCCAGTAAAGCAAAGCACGTGCACACACACGCACCAGCATGACCCAATCCACGGACTTCCTCTTGGCCCTGCCAAACAGCACATTTGGGATATGGAGCAATGCTCTGGGGAGGGACTGTCTCTGGCTGTTTGCAGCCCCACCCTCACCACTGGGCAGCAAGCAGAGGTGCACAATGCAGCCTCTCCTGTGGCTGTGCTGTGCAGCCCCCTACCTGGCCTTCTCACCCTTTCTCCCCACCTGTTCTGCAGCTTCCCTTCCCACTCACCAGCTGCTGCTCTTCTGTCCACGTGATGGAAGGGAGAATGGGGCAGGGAGCCATCGGAGCCCAGGAAGATAGGTCGTCCATGTAGAAGCAATGCCTCCTGGGATTCTGATGGACTGTGAATTGGGTGTTTGATCTCATGAACAATGAGAAGTTAGGCCAAATCGAACTAGTTAGCACAATCCAAAAATAATCCTGACTTCAAATGGCATAACTTTAAAACGTCATTTAGCCCTTAGCATTTGTGAACAAGCATTAATTTGTGATCTTTCACATTTTAAGTGTCCTTAAAAAGGTTTAACTTAATTTGTATTTTGACCTTCCTCTAGAGCTTTTTGTCATAGTCATATTGGACAGGCTTGAAATCAGAAATGACTGTTTGGCAAGTTACAGCAATATGGCCAATCCAACTGTAATACACCCTGTCCCAGGGGAGCTGGGACGCCAAAGAAACCCCGGGGCAGCAAGGAGGCCTACTTACCTCCCGCAGGTCCGGAAGAGCCGGAGGAGGAGTGCACACCAAAGACGCCGGCGTGGGCAATCAGCCGGGCCTTTATCCGGCTGCGGCTGAGCAGCGGGGGCGGAGGACGCCTCCCGGAGGGAATAAGAAGCAGCCCCGAGGGCGGTTGCTGAGGGGAGACCACGAGAGGGAACCCCAGCGTGGAAGAGAGCAACCGCCGCTCTCGGCCGCTCCGAGAGCGAGGGGTGGAGCCAGGGCAGGCTCCGAGGAAGCCGGCAACACAACCGGCAGCGGGCTTGATTGCGGAGCCAGCTACAACACCGGCAGTGAAATTGACGATGGTGCATGCCATTGAGCCGGTGAAGGAACTGGAGGCATCGGGGGCCCCGAAGCCCCAGAGGAAATTGACAGCAAGGAACGCTGCCGAACTAGTAAAGGAGCTGGTGGCTTCTGGAGCGGCGGAGCCAGTGAAGGAACTGGCCATGTCGCGAGTGGCAGCGCCGGTGAAGGAACCGGCAGCAGCTGGAGCGGTAGTACTGGGGAGGGAGCTGACTGAACCCGGGGCAGTAGAGTCGGGGAAGGAACCAGAGGCATCCTGGGCGGCAAGGCCGGTGGAGTAACTGACCACTTCGGAAGTAAGAGGACCAGGGCTGGGAGGAGCTGCCAGATTCAGGGAGGAGCCGAAGGAGAAGGTCTGAGTTGGCGACCCCGGCAGGCGCCAATGTGAGCCGGGGACCTGTACGTACGGCAGGCAGGTCGGAGGTGAGACAGCGGCGGGCTAGGGGCAGCGGTGAAGCCAAAAGAAGACCGAACCACAGGTGGCGAGTGGCTGGGGTGTAGGGGAGGATGGAGCCCCAAGACTGCCCGCTAGGGACCGCACCAACTCTGGGGGCCACCCCAAGAGAGGACCCCCCCC